GGGAGAAGCAGACTCCCTGCCGAGCAGGGAGCCCGATGCGGGACTCGATCCCGGGACTCCAGGATCATGACCTGAGCCGAAGGCAGTCAATCAACCAACTGAGCCACCCAGGTGCCCAGGACCTTACCTGTCTTGACCACTGCTGTAAGCCACAAGTCTAGAACAGTGCATGGCATACAAATAGCACTCAATAAACGGCTACTGGATAATGTGATTAATGTTAAAATGGGTAGTGCAGGGCTGTGCTGTCCAATTCAGCAGCCATTAGCCACAGGTAGCTAGAGGGAAAGTAAAATGAGGGGCACCTGGGTGGGTCAGTTGTTAAGCAGTCTGCCTTCAGCCCAGATTGTGATCCTGGGGGCCTGGGTTTGAGCCCTGCGTGGGGTTCCCGGCTCAGCAGGAAGCCTGCTTCTCCCTCTGTCCCTCCCCTGTTCATGTACTCTCTCTCACCCTCTCTCTTTCGAATAAATAAATCTTTAAAAATAAAATAATACAAGAAAGAAAGTAAAATGATTTAAAATGAAAAGCTCAGGAGCACCTGGCTGGTTCAGTTGGTAGGACATGTGACTCTTGATCTCAGGGTCGTAAGTTCAAGCTGCACAGAGCGTAGAGCTTATTTAAAAAAATATATATATATAAAAAAAAAACAGCACAACAAGCCTCAGTTTCTCAATCACATGAGCCACATTTCACACGCTAATGGCTAGTGGTTACTGTGTTGGACAGTGTAGACCCAAAACATTCCAGTGAGAAGGTTCCATTGCAGAGTGCTGGTATAGACAGTATATGCTACTGACGATCAAATTTGAAAGAGATCAGTGTTCACTGATGGCACTGAGACTTGAAATGGGGAGGACGGAGGGTTTTGATATTAACTGAAACCTGATGAATAGTAAATTTCAGGTTCGGCAAATTCAATTCTATTTACAAATCATTTCCCTTTTATAAAGGGCATCTACAGGACTTGGAGGTTTAATGTGATGGAGAACACTGGCACAGCCCCTTTCTTTCTCCAGACACCATTCTAAACACCACCACCAACGGAAATAACGACTTTATCTTAATAGAATCTGCATGATACCTGTAACCTTGAACCATAACATAACAATTCTAACATAAGAATTCCCAAGTGTAGTGAAGGTCAAACAGAGGTGCAGGAACACACCAGAGGAAGAATGCCTATAGATTCAGACAAAGGTTAGAGCAGTCTGCAAAGTTGTAGCAAATAAACTGTTCTTTGGAATAGCAGAGAAGTATGTATACTGACAGAAGGAGCTTCCCTGGACTTCGTTTATACCAAGAACAAGCAAAAGGGAGAGAAATGGAGGCTAAACAAGGAATCTTAGAGACATGCTCTATTTGCTATGTTCATAAGGTAGAGCTTGGGAAGAGATGTTTTACAGTATAAATAACCCTGAAGCTGCTGATCTCTTCAGGCTAGAGAGGAGTAATGGTTAAAAGAACTTATGCAATAGTATGGAAATTATACCTCAATAAAGCTGTTAAAAAAAAAAAGGAACAGACACCTCATTCACCTACAACGCTTTGTCAGAAAGAACTCAACAGCAAGCAGGGGAATTTCATGATGGCCTGGAACAGTTCCTGGTTCCTCCCACAGGAGCCTCCTATCAGCAGGAGGTCCAGGAGGAACTTCCTCATTCACAGATGAGCAATCATCAAAAGTTATCAGCACGAGATTTATATGAACATAAGAAAAGGACAAAGGAGGAAAGGAACAGAAAAACAAAAAGCAGACAGAAAACAGTGACCAGAAAGACAGTGCCACAGTGAAAACTGTGATCAAGCATATTGACATGACAGAAAAAAAATGGAATGAGGAAATACCTTGGTTAAATAAGAGCTCCAAGCAGAGATATAAAAGCAGAAAGATGAGGTGAGCCACCATAAAAAGATGAAACAGGAGCTTGTCGAATTCAAAGAACGAAGTGGAATGAAAAAATAAAACCACTGCAAAATGAAGACCACATTGAAAGCACCACATACAAAAGACACTGCTGAAAACACAGTAAGGGATGTGGAGAAAGGTAAAGCAAATACAACGCAAGTGGGCAAAAGTAAAAAAAAGATTAAAGAAAATCTTAAAACATGAAAGAAAGTCAAGAGATCCTACATATGTATAACTGGTTTATGTGTGAAGAAAGGATTTGAGATAATGAAAGAAAAAATTTAGGGGCACCTGGCTTAGTTGGTAGAGCATGTGACTCTTGATCTCAAGGTTGTGAGTTTGAGCCCCACACTGGGTGTAAAGTTTACTTAATAAAAAAAATAATAATAATTAAAGAAAAATTTCAAGAAATGTATGTGGATGTGAACTTCTCTACAGACTGACACATGTCTTGACAAGGAATTACTGACAGTAAGACACATCCTGGTGAACTTGTAAGACTTCAGAGATTAAAAATAAAATCTGGGCATGAAGCAAAAATATCAGGCAAGCAACAAATAAAGGAGACAAAAACAAAATGGCTTCAGAATTTTCCATGGCAACATTTAATGCTAGAAGAAAAAGAATACTGCCTACAATATTTTTCAGGAAGAAAAGCATGACTCCAAATTTTATACTTAAACTCTTCATCAAACGTAAAGGTGAAAAACAATCATTTCTGAACTCATGCCATTCAAGAGATAAAAAGAAAACAGGGATTATGACTACAAGCAGAATCTGTCATTTGTAAATACCACAAATTGGAATGTAGTTAGAAGAGGAAGGAAAGAGATGTTGACATCTTCCTCTGTGAAGAGATAAAAGGACAGACGTTAAAGCTGATAAGTAAATGTATTTAAAAGCATTGGGGTTGGGGTGCCTCAGTGGCTCATTCGGTTAAGCTTCCAACTCTTGATCTCAGCTCAGGTCTTGATCTCAGGGTCATGAGTTCAAGCCCCATGTTGGGCTCCATGTTGGGTGTGGAGCCTACTTAAAAAAAATAATAATAAATAAATAAATAAAAGCACAGGGGTCAACACTAAGAAAATAATAAAATTGGAGGGTGAAAAAGGAGGAGGGGAGATGTGGAAAATATGCTAACTTCATCACTGCTCTTAGCAGGGATTCAAAAAATACTACATAAAATAGTAGTTTAAAAGTTGTAGTTATAATAACAGCTAGAAGAAACCTTACAGCTGGGGTTTCAGCACCAAACAAAACAACACAAAACAAAAACAAAACTTTCCAAACTAGTATAAAACAATGTGGAAAAATGCAAAGAAAACACATAAAGAAACTTTAAATAAGAAAAAGCTGAATGTGTGTAACATAAATGTGACAGAACCAAGACCAAACATTTCTGACCTAGCAATAAGTACTGGTAAGATAAACTATTTTAGGGATGCCCGGGTGGCTCAGTCGGTTAAGAGGCTGCCTTCGGCTCAGGTCATGATCCCAGTGTCCTGGGATCGAGTCCCACATCAGGCTTCCTGCTCAGCGGAGAGCCTGCTTCTCCCTCTGCCTGCCGCTCTCCTGCTTGTGCTCTGTCTCTCTCTCTGACAAATAAATATAAAATCTTAAAAAAAAAAAAATAAACTATTTTATTAAACAGAAAAATGACCCACAGATTGAATATGTAGATGGATATATACAGGATATTTGCTGAACCACTGTAGTAACAAGAGTATGAAAACCCTAATGTCCTAAATGGGAATGACTGACTTATGATATAGTGAAATCCAACATGATATTGGCATGATCTTCAAGATATAGGAGAAAAGGCACAGCACAGAACAGTATGTGTGGCATGCTTTCATTTGTATAAGTACATAAAATGCAAATATTTATAAAATATCTCTAAAATTGGTAGAAGCTGCTGCCTCAAGGGAGGGAACTGCATGGTTTGGAGATGGAGGAACAAACACTTTTCACTGCATATCCTTTGGGTCTTTACAATTTTGTTCTAAGTACATGTATTTTTTTTAAAGATTTTTTTATTATTATTTATTTATTTAACAGAGAGAGAGAGAGAGAGAGACAGAGTGAGAGAGGGAACACAAGCAGGGGGAGTGGAAGAGGGAGAAGCAGGCTTCCCTGCAGAGCAAGCAGCCTGATGCGGGGCTCAATCCCAGGACCCTGAGATCATGACCTGAGCCGAAGGCAGACGCTTAACGACTGAGCCACCCAGGCGCCCCTAAGTACATGTATTACCTAGTTTAAAAAAAAAAAAAAAAACCCATGTAAAGCACAAATAATATCCCTTTTTTTTAAACAGGTTAATCAATTCATGATATCTGAATACTTAAAAAGGACTTATAAGAATACTAATTAATATGCTTTTTATAAGAAATGGGAAAGTATAATGCCACAAACAATGAAACTGATGGTTAACAGAAAGCAAGAAGCAAATATTTAAGAACGAGAGTATGGTGCTATGTTGCAATTTAAGTCCATAAAGGGAAAGGCTTAACAATTTTTCATGGTCACATACATGCCCTTGCACAGATCTGAAAATCTACCTTAATTCTTGCTGCTCTTCTTTTGGGACTTCCACCAGCAAACTCTTTTGCAGTTACTTACAAAGCAATTCTGAAAAGGTGGCTCATGTAGAACCACTACATAGTATCAAATTCACCTCCAAGTAGAGTTCAAAACCATCCAAAATAATTCAAACTCTAAGATGCCAAAAACATAGGAATTTAAGAAAATATTAATAAAGGCCAGAATTTAAGATGGAACTTTACAGGGTTTTTTAAATTTATTTTTTTATAGTTTTTAAAAATGCCTGTTAGCATTTACTCATGTACAGAACTGTCAAAATTTCCAAATACTAAGCAGCAAAAATTTTCAGTAGCCTGCCTGTTATGTTCTAGTTTTAATGATATGATTCAGTTGACAATAATTATCAGAAGTCTGCAGGGTTATAATACTAGTGCTGAAAGTTACATTTTTAGTTAATAAAATTTTAATCCATTTTCAGCCTGAATTCTTTTAGGTCTGGTTTTATTTTCTCTAGATTATGGGTTCATATCACTTTGATCAGTTACTGAATAATGCTTTGGAAATCAACCTGTTGCCAATAAATAAAAACTAGAGAATTAGGCAGTATATCACAGACTTTAAAAACGCACTGTTTCTAATATAGGCAATAAAACTGACAGAAAAAAGTTTTCAAGCATCTGACTCTGGAAACCTGACCAAAAAACAATGTGGAAAAATACTAAGGCCTTACTGCAATCCATTTTTCAAACTTCAACTTAGGCAGCATATCAATATTTAGGAATCAGATGCTAAGTACAAATTGGAAATAAAGCTGTTGTCTTAACAAATGAAGGAGTATTTAGATATTATTTTGGCTTTATTTCAAAAAATGAAGTTAGAGAAGAAAGGGCAAAAGGAGAACTGAGAGAAAGTGTTATTTGTAGATGATTCAGTCACTTTGATTCACAGTCTGGAAGCAATTCTATATATAAGCAAAGCTAATCTAAAGTATATACTTTTTTGGGGCGCCTGGGTGGCTCAGTCGTTAAGCGTCTGCCTTCGGCTCAGGTCATGATCCCAGGGTCCTGGGATCGAGCCCCGCATCAGGCTCCCTGCTCAGCGGGAAGCCTGCTTCTCCCTCTCCCACTCCCCCTGCTTGTGTTCCTGCTCTCGCTTTGTCTCTGTCCAATAAATAAATAAAATCTAAAAAAATAAAAATAAATAAAAAAATATATACTTTTTTGTAAGAAAGTCAATTTATTTTGTTTCTTATACACTTCAAGATTTTTCTGTATTTATTGACTTTTAACTTATTTTTTTTGTTATTTTTTCATCTTTTACAAGAGATGTAATTGACATACATTATTTAAGTTTCATTGTACAACATGATTCAATATTTGTATATATTGTGAAATGATCACAACGTCAACATGTCACCCTACATAGTTCTAAAAATTTTTTGTGTGATGAAAACTTTTAAGATATACTCTATTAGCAACTTGTAAATATGCAGTACAGTATCAGTCGTTATAGTCATCATGCTATAAATTACATCCCCAAGATTTATTTTATAATTTTAAGTTTGTACCTGTTGACCCTCTCCCACCTGTTTTGCCCACTACCCACAAAATTCATTTATTTATTTATTTATTTATTTATTTTTTTTTATTTAAAGATTTTTATTTATTTATTTGAGAGAGAGAGAATGAGAGAGAGAGCACACGAGAGGGGGGAGGGTCAGAGAGAGAAGCAGACTCCCTGCCGAGCAGGGAGCCCGATGCGGGACTCGATCCTGGGACTCCAGGATCATGACCTGAGCCGAAGGCAGTCGCTTAACCAACTGAGCCACCCAGGCGCCCCAAAATTCATTTTTTTAAAAACAACTCTCGGCTGGGGTGCCTGGGTGGCTCAGTCAGTTAAGTGTCCACCTCTTGATTTCAGCTCAGGTCATGATCTCAGGATTGTGGGATCAGGCTCCCCACTGGGCTCCGTGCTCAGTGGGGAGTTGGCCTGAGATTCTCCCTCTCCCTCTGCCCCTACTCCCCCACACAGTCTCTCTCCTCTCAAATAAATAAATCTTTAAAAATAAATAAATAAATAAAAACAACTTTTGGAATGGGCTGTCAACAAATTTCTGATTTTTATTGTAAAAGCCTCCCAGTATTCTATATTACAAAAGGAGCAGTAATGCTAAACGATAGAATGCAAAATGTGGGAATAATCTCTTTGGGGAAGATGGCTGAAAGTCAGCTACCATGTTTGGGAAAACTTACCTTTGTTTCTTTGAACTGGTAATCTTTAAACTGCTTAACAACCACAAATAAGTTATCAACTGATCTCAGACAATGAACCTGGAGAAGGGAAAAAAATGTTAGAAACCAAGTTCTAAGAAAGCTTTTGAATCACATGAACTATCAACATTTTTTTTTTTAAAGATTTTTAAAATTTATTTGACAGAGACACAGCAAGAGAGGGAACACAAGCAGGGAGAGTGGGACAGGGAGAGGGAGAAGCAGGCTTCCTGCCGAGCAGGGAACCTGATGCAGGGCTGGATCCCAGGACCCCGGGATCATGACCTGAGCCGAAGGTAGACGCTTAACCATCTGAGCCACCCAGGCGCCTCTGAACTATCAACATTTAAATATAAAAATTAGGTATAAACACTTTAAAGACGCTAATACCTGTAATTTGTACTTTAAATTTTCCCCATATACCCAGTCTCCCATGTTTTTGGTTACCCATTAGCTTCTATTTCCCTACAGAAATATAAGAAGGAAGATGGAAGGATAGCTTGAAGTGCTACCGGGGAAACACAGGTTTAGGGGAGAAAGGAAGATAAAGAAAGTCAAGTGGGGCTTTATCATATTTCCCTCTTGGCAGTGGTTAAGAGCACAGGGTTTGAGGTCCAGCTGTTATTACTAGCTGAGCGACTCTGCAGAAATTACTTATTCCTAAGCTTAACGATTAATGAGGATAATAAAAGCACCTATCTTCACAAAGCTGCTGAGGTTATTAACTAAGATACTGGGTGGAAAACATTTGCTTGCCAATTCATCCCCCAAATATTCATTGGGTGTCTACTATATGCCAGACACTAAGAACACAAAAACCCCCAGACAATTCCTGCTCTCACAATGCTTATATGGTAATGAATATTGGTTAGCTTTTATTCAAGTGGGATGGCAGTTTGCTGACCACTTCTCCCTTTAAGTGATTCCTAATTACTTTTGAGCAAGAATTTCTTTGACACAGATTAAAAGAAAAATCTCTCCTTATTTGCTTCGCCACCAAAGTCTAAACTTCAGCTAGATGTTGAAGTAAAGAAATTCAAAGACATTTGGCAGATATTCAGAATTTCTTCAAAAGTCACACAGGATTCTTTCTAGTGAAACATATTAGGTTCACTTCTAAAAATATAGGAAACCTACTAGTCAAACCAAATCAGTACCGAATGGAAAATAAGTATTACTTTAAAATTACCAGACGTGGGGCAGAGCAAAGAAAAGCAAAAAGGATTCAAGAGGGGTCTGTAAGCCAGAAAATAATCATAAAATGACCTTTTTAGAAAACTATTTTAAATATTGTTTCTTTCAAACCTGAGCCAGACTTTCCACTGAAATGTCAAAATATATCTTGCCCCGGTCTTTGCTGATTTTGCATGATGACCCCAATTTCTCTCTCACTTCATCTGCAGCTGTTTGCTCAAAACCAGTAGGTACAGTGGCTCCAACAGTGACTTGGAGGTGCTCAGACTCACTTCTGGGATCACTTTCTGTCACTTGTATAGACCTCCAGTTCTCATGAAGGTTCACATCCAAGAGTTGGTTAGTGGCTTCTTGAACATCAGACATGTTGGCAGTGCTTCCAAGATTCCTAATACAGTCCCTTTAAAAGCAGTACAAAAAAGAAAAAGATAATGCCTACACATATCACCTCATAGTTCAACTATAATTAAAAACACCTGCTTTGGAGAGCTAGTGGAATAAGGCAACACAACTGATACCGCCACATGAAGTCAACACACCTGAATCAATATTCACCAAAGATAAAAGGATTGAAGAACATGGCACAGAGAACAGGATGTAAACTGTGCTATTATTTAAAAAGCAATATAGATGCTAAGGAAGAAAAGGAGACAGAGAAATAGTATTTCCACAGCATGAAATGTTTGGTTTGGGACCATCTGTGTTGATAATAGCCACCTCATACTGTTAACAATTCCCCAACAGAGGCTGCTAGAACACATTCAAATACATTTCTACATCTAGTCCTTTTTCAGCCAGTAGTTAAGAATTGGAATTTGGAATTGCAGACATGGATCTGAATTCTTGCCCTCACCATTCACAGGGTGAATGGCCTAAAACAAGTTTATTCTCCTATTCCTAAATTTCCTCATCTGCAAAAACGGGAATTAATTAATACCTCTCTCTTGAGTTGTTGGGAGACTTAAGTTAGAACATACTGCCAGGCCCACGATTAAAACCTTCTAAGAGGATATCTATCTTCTTCCTGTGACGTGGATAGTGAGTCGTGCGTTTAAAAAAGATTAACTGAACATCTACGATATAATGACTGCCAATGTTTGAACGTCTACTACAGGCCAGGCTTTGGGATTCATGGACTGGCAACGGTATCTGTGAAACGTCCTGTCTGTAAGCGGAGGGGCGGGGCGGGATTTAGAGAGGTGGGTAGTGGCGATCAATAGCGCTCTCTAGATTTCCCAAAGGTTTTGTGACCCAAAACAACACAAGTAGGCACACAGTACCTACAAGAGTACCTGTTCTTGCTCTATGCCCGGGCAGGCGACAGTGTATAACACTAATAAAAGTCAGTTCCAGCCCCAAAGTAGCTCATAATCCCTGTGAATACGACTTCCATCTTCTAAATAAAGCAGCTGAAGCCCACGAAAGGACATATCCCGCCCAGGGTCAGAGAGAGCCGATCAGTGGCGCAGGCTAGAATGAAACCCACGTCTCCCGACTCACACCCGCAGGGCCCCAGTGACAGGAATCCCGGGGTGCAGGTGAAGGCCTAGAAGAAGCAACAAAAAAACGCTCCGCAAGAGGATCGGGCTGAAGTCCAGTTCGGTGTTGGCTCGGGTCGCAAAACAAAGGTCGTCCCTCCCTCCCGAGGGTCAGACGCGCCACACCCGGCCACTCCCACCCACCGCCCGGTTACCGGCCGCCAGCGCAGACCCTTCTTGCTCCGGCACCCAGCCAGACCAACGCACTCAGGTCACGCCGCCGGAAGCCGCCTCGACTCCACCGGAAACGGAAGTCAGGCTGCGCAATCCCAGATGCGCAGAACTGGGGAAGGGCGCCCACGAAAGGTCGTGGAGAGAGGAACATGCGCATAAAGCTCTGTGCGCGGTGGCGCCGCATGTGGGGAAGCAGGCTGTTGCAGTTGGGGCCAGGATCCTCTACAGGCTGAATCTGGAGAACCACGGAGCTTGTGGCCTATCATCATAGTAGCTAGTTAACTTTTATAGCGTGCTTCGCCATTTCAAGCACTGAGTAAGCGCTTCACACGCGTCATTTCATTTGTTCCAACAGCTCTTTGAAGTGACACGACTATTCCAATTTTAAAGTCGGAAAAAGTGAGTCTCAAAGAGGTTACATATCTTGCTCAAAATGTCAGGCGCAGCATTTTTGAAGCGGAACTGGGTTTTGAATCTGGATGGTGTGACTCCTGAATGCTTCCTCATCACGTCTGACCCAGTGTTGTTGAAACTAGTCCCTGAGTTATATATTGTCTTCACTACTTTTGTCCAATTGCACTCTTGATTACTATTTTTTTCATTAAATATATGTATTTTAAAATATTTATTTATTAGAGATGGGGGAGGGGCAGACGGAGAGGGAGAGAGAATCTCAAGCCGACTGCACCCTCTGTCTTTGGAGGGGCTGGATTTCACACCCTGAGATCATGACGTGAGCCAAAATCAAGAGTGCTGCTTAAGCACTGAGCCACCCAGGTGTCCCTAAATATGTTTTTAACTTATTTTAGAAGGAAACTTGTGCAACTTAACAACAAAAATAACCCAATTTTAAAATGGGCTATGGTTTGACTATTTCTCCAAATAAAATACACTTATGGCCAATAGTCACATGAAAAGATGCTCAACATCATTAGGAAAATGCAAATTAAAACCAAAATGTCCCAGGGTGGGCTCCCTGCTCAGACCTGCTCCTCCCACTTGTGCTCTCTCTTGCTCTCTCTCAAATAAATAAAATCTTAAAAAAAAAAAAAACAAACCAAAATGAAATACCTATTTTGGTGGTTAAATTTTTTTTTTAAATGGATAGTTACAAGTTCCACTAGGTATATAGAGAAATGGAACACTTATATGTTGCTGGTGGGAAGGCAAAATGATACAGCCACTTTGGAAAACAGTTTGGCCTTTCCTCAAAAAGTTAAACAATTACCACGTGACCCAGCAATTCTACTCCTAGGTATATACCCGAGAGAACTGAAAAACAGATATTCAAACAAAAACTTGGACATAATATGCCTAAAGCGTTATTTGTAATAGACCCAAAGTGGAAACAACTCAAATATTCATCAGCTGACAAACAGATTAAAAAAGGTGATTTATATATCCATATAGCGGAATATTAATTCAGTCACAAAAAGGAATGAAGTACTGTCCTGATTCATGGTACAAAATGGATAAACCTTATCTGCATTGGTGGTATAGTAGTGAGCATAGCTGCCTTCCAAAATGGATAAACCTTGAAAATATTATGCTAAGTGTGAAAAAAACAGTGCCAAAAGACCACATATATGATTCCCTTAGTATGAAATTCCAGCAAAAGCAAATATAAAGAGACAGAAAGATTAGTGGTTGTTTAGGGCTAGAAAGAGGACATTGGGGGTAATAGCCAAAGGGTATGGGGTTTTTTTTTAGAGGGGGAAATGAGAATGTTCTGGAATTATATAGTAATGATGGTTGTACAACATTGTGACTATACTAAGAAACTGAATTGTACAGTTTAAAATATTTAAAACAGTGAATTTTATTTCAAAGGAAACTTTGGTCTCATGGGAAACTCATCTGCAGTTTCCTCTAATGCAAAATGATACTAATAAGAGTTGTTGCAAGATTTAAATGAGATTAACATGCTACCAGTCTCATAATTGAAGTAGACAATGCCCCTAAGATTAATACCGTGAAAACAAAACAAGGTTATTAAAATCCTGGCCAGATACTGTTCCCTACAAAAGGCTCTTACTAGGCTTTGAATGTAAGGCCCGTTCTCTATTCTTTAAAAGGATAAATTATCAAATATTAGAGACAAACTAGCACTATATGAGGCTTTCTTGACCTAATGAGAGGGATTAAAACATCGAAAAGATTCTCTCCACCTGATTCAGTGTTATTTAATGCATACCTTTATACTATCTAAAATTATTTCTGGGGCACCTGGGTGGCTCAGTTGGTTAAGCGTCTGACTCTTGGGCGCCTGGGTGGCTCGGATGGTTGAGCGTCTGCCTTTGGCTCAGGTCATGATCCCAGGGTCCTGGGATCGAGTCCCGCATCAGGCTCCCTGCTCCTTGGGAGCCTGCTTCTCCCTCTGCCTCTCTCTCTCTCTGTCTCTCTGTCTCTCATGAATAAATAAATAAAATCTTTAAAAAAAAAAGCATCTGACTTGATTTCAGCTCAGGTCATGATCACAGGATCTTGAGATCAAACCCCGTGGTGGGCTCCTCACTTAGTGGGGAGTCAGCTTGGGATTCTCTCTCTCCCTCTCCTCCCTCTGCTCCTCCTCCTGCTCTCCCTCTCTTTAAAAAACAAATAAGTCTTAAAAAAATAAAATAAAATCATTTCTCATAAACAGATCTCACACTTGGGGGAACATTGCTCTAAGACATTATCTGCCTGTGGTATCATGGTAGGTGTTATTAAAGTGACAGAATTTATTGAGCATCTATTATATGTCAGGCATTCTTATAGGCACTAGGGATACAGCAGTGAAAAATTATTCTAGAACTTACATTCTAATGGAAAATAGAGACAATACAGGGAACATGTAACATTCCTGAGATGATAAGTATAATGGAGAAAAACTAAGCAAGCTGGGGGGATGACTGGAGAGAAGGAGGGGAATGCTTATTTTATATCAGTTGGTTAGGAAAGGCCTCTTTGATAAGGTGACAAAGCAGAGCCTGAAGGAAATGAGAGAGCAAGACATTTGGATATCTGGGAGAAGGGCATTCCAGGCAGAGGACAGGGATATGTTCCAAAGGGTCTGGGAAGATCCAGGAGGCCATTGTGGCTGGGGAGGAGTGAGTGAGTGGGAGAGAGAGGATTAGATGGGGTGGGTACATCATATAGGCTAATATTTTACAAATTATCATACATTCAAAAAGGATCACTCTGGCTGCTGAATGGGCAAGGATGGAAGCCGTTACCAGTCTATTTCAGTGGTCTGAATGAGAAATACTGACAGCTCAAACTAGGCTATTAGGGATGTGTGTGGTGAGACTTGTCAGATTCTGGTGTATTTTGAACGATGACTTGTCATTGCTGATGGATTGGATGTGGTTTTGAAAGGAAGGTAAAGAACAGGAGTTTGGGGGATGTATGCTGAAGAACTTCCACTAAAATGCTATGAAGAAAGTAAAAATGGATACATTCACTCTTTAAAGTTCTGGTTCTGGTTTATTGCAAAGAGTAATGGTATTTTGGCTTATGTCAGAAAAACCCTGGTATCTGCTGTAAAAATATTGACTAATGTGGATCCTTGTTCCAAGATGCCAGTTTTGGATAAGTGACATATACATGTGGAAGTAGAAGCTTCTAATTTCTTTCTGCCAGTAGTGTTATAATAAACTAAAGTGACCTCTGTGAAAATAAGCAAATGATTAAATTTGATAATTTCCATCAGATATAGTGACACAAATTAGGAATTCAGTGTTAGCTGTTCCCCTGAACCCAGATATCTATTTTACTCTAACAGCTGTCTATTCTTGCCTATTTTTAAGGCTAAAACAAAGTCATGGTTAGACATTCAAACAGTACAGCCACTCCCTAGCTTAGCCCCTTCCTTTGCTCTTTTACAGAAACAAGAATTATTTACTACTACTTCCCTTAGTTCACATGGTGACTTCCTCCATGTCTCTAAATAACCTGCTTGTAGTCCTGTTTCTTGCATTTTCAACTTTGGTCATTATCTACAGACTCTGTTAGGGTACTTGAGGCTTAGCCTATTAATATCCCCACCATCCTACTTCCCTTCCCTTCTCTTCTCATTAAAGTTACAACCCAGTATGTTGGGTGCCTGGCTGGTTCAGTCAGAAGAGCGTTTGATCTTGGGGTTGTGAGTTCAAGCCCCACATTGGGTGTAGAGATTACTTTAAATAAATAAATAAATAAATAAATGTAAAGTTACAACCTGATATAGTTTGTCCCTCTATGTTAAATTTACCAGGTAAATTTAAGTAATATATTAAACATCTTTTTGTTTTATCAATTATAGACAGTGTCTCTTGATCCCCCCATACTGTAAGATGTCGGTTTTGTCAGCACTCCTGGCCTTTTCTCTACCTGTTCTTCTGTCTTTGCGCTTCCCAATCTAATTTGTTAAAAGAGGATTCCATTTGGCAGGTTGGATTCCCGTGGAGATGTAATTGAAAGAAGGCAGGTCCCTACACCTGCTTCTCACTCAATGAACTACTGAAATTCCATCTTCCCCAAGAAAACCTTTTGGGACCTCACTGGGAAATGACTACAATCTTGTTAAGAAAATGATAGCCTGGGAGTCCATGAACTCTTAACCCAACAGACCTTTGGCCTGTTGGGTGTTAACAACCAGAGGGGAAAACAATCAGCTTTGGCCGTTCCCTAAATAAGCTGAGGTTTATTTACTTTTCCCATGCCCTTTCAAACCAAAGGCTATAAAACTGCTTTAGTAATATAACTCCTGTGAGAACTCTGATGGAATTAGTGACATCACAGTGAATTTTCAAGAAAATGTACATGAAATTTATTGTTCATCTTGAACTTCATATGGATAAGTAAGTTGATTGATCTAAAAGCAAGTTATTCACTTTGAAAAGAACTGTGTCTTTGCTGTAATTGAGATTATAAGGGTTGCGGGGGGGGGGGGAAGAGAGATGGTAATGAGCTGGGAAGCAAAACACCGCTGCCACCTAGTGGTTACTCATTCTGAAACACTGCAGTTCTTTAAAAGCACAGACAGCAGAAAAGGAAACTGAGTACAGGAGACACCCAGCGAAGATCCTGAA